TGGCAAAAACAACTTGCTTCATTCAACCAGTGGAAAAATAGTCGCATCGGCACGAGTTAATAAAAACTGGCAATAGCTGGCCTTAATTTTGCTGAATGAAAAGTCTCCGGAAGCGAATTTCGTAGCGGTCAGATACTACGATTTTCTAGATTTTAGACAAACACACTTTAAGTCGAAGTAGTTTAACCTATTTTCTTAAAAATCAAAAGCATGCAAAACAAAATATTCAAAAATAATTCTGAAGCCTTTTAAATAAGACAGCTGTCATAAAAAAAGCAAAATACTTCAGCTATGGATATGTTTCTGCGAAGAGTGTAATCATCTGAGAGGAAAACCGATGGCGGATCACCAAATGGTGCAAAAAGAAGCGGAGCAATTGCCAATTTCTTTTTTCCCATCAATTTTTGCAGAATTCTGTGGTCTGTCAACAAATGATCGCCCTGAAAAGACTGTTTAAAATTAAAAAAAACTGAAATTAATAAAAAATAACTTCAAAAAATTTCATATAACATTCTAAACAGTTTCAGGGTAGTAGCACAGGCAGCAATAATAGTTCGTTGTACGGAACAAGCCTGATTCGGGAGTTTTCTCGGAGTTCCATAAAGACAGTTACAGCGGCTACAGAATTCTGCCCTAGCGATTAGGCGAAGAGAAATTTGATTAATTAATGCGCTTTTTTTTTTATTAGATATAAAGAATATAAGTACTATACTGTAAACACGTAAAATGTTTAAACCAAGTAAGAAGAAGTTTAAAAAATTGGTTTTTGCATTGCATAACAGTGTTTTTTGAATCAACGTGCATTTTTTTCGTCTTATTAGATATAAAGGATATAGGCACTATATCGTTAAATACGTGAAATCTTTAAAACAAAAACAAGTCAAAAAAAAATTTGGCTTTTACATAGTATAAGTGTGTTTTCATAAAGCGCAATTTAAAAAAAAAAAAAATGTTAAAAAAAAATGTTTTTTACGCGCAGTCCTGTGAAAGCAGCGAAATCAATCATATCAAGTGTACCTTCAAAAACAGCACATACTTTGCTTTACTACTGCGCGCATTCATCAACGCATCTTCACGCCAATTCTTCCCATCCAACGTGATAGAAATGCTACGATAATGCTTTCGTGCACTATCCATCCATCTAAAAACTACCTCACAGTAACAAAATTTTATGTGTTGTACACTTTGCCACAAAAACTACATGAAACTACTTCACAGCAAATATCAGTGAGCTCACTAAAAAGAACAGATTTCACTCACTAAAAAGAACAGATTAACACAGACGACCTTTAAATAGGTGGCGCACTTAGTGGTGCAAGTAGCAGCTAAAAAATAAAGGAATACAAGTTGTCGGAAAGAAATGCAAGCAGCACGGCCACCAGCTCACTATACCTCGTTCACGCGAACTATTCAGCATCACTGGACCCAAGTCTACGCTTTTCCCGTCAGTTCAGAGTTCCAGAATGCAACTAAAGGAAATGGAAACGTATTTTGGGAAATTTCAAAAAAAGAGAAATGAGAGGTCTGTTGCAAAAGAAAGAAGGTGCTAGCAGCAAGAAAATGAAGTTAATGAATAACCCCTTCGCACTGTCCAGTTGCCCTCCGACTCCTTATCTCATGCAAATGTCCCGTCTCCTGACTCGAGTTCCTCTTC